ACCGACGACGTGACTTATTAGAGTTCGTCCATATGGCGGGCGTAGTGCGTTTTAACTGTCAGTTTCGTTTAGACCGACAAATCGTCCCTGCACGGTACATTTGTATCTTCAAAAAGGCCAAGATACGATCTTGATCTAGTGCACGAGAATTGAAAGAGGAGTCTCTTAAGTTTGTCCTACTGAATATTCAGTACTTTATAACTAATGCCTGAAACGTATTACAATGTATTCTGCGAGGCAATCGATGCTCGAGTGCCGCTCCAAAATTCTTGTCGGCGGGGGCAATTAAAATCCCAATCTACCGTTGCGAGCAGCCAGTCGGAAGGGTCGTTGAAGATAGCAGGGTCGGTCGCTTCCATCCAAGGTTGCCCACGTAACAACGAGAGACGGAGAGAAATAACGGGCGTTTATTTACGTGCGTGAAAAGACAAAAAGAAGGTCATTCGCTCATAAATAATCGGCAAAGAAACAATTCTTCAAAGTGTACAACTTTCTACAGCCAAAAATGCTTATTACTTTCTTTATCTATTTTATATAAATTATTAAGTTCATCTATTTTTCGTGATAAAATTCGTGAATTCATTCGCAGGTACTTCGCCTGAATTCGCGAAATTACAAATCGTGCGTGTTGCATAACTATTCGAAATTTCGATCAAATCGAAATGAAAAATTTTACGTATGTGTATATATATGTATACACTTCAGATGATCAGGAAAGGTTGTGAACCAGCAAAGATACCTCGACCTCCGCGACGCGTGCGTGTACTCCGATAGCGACGACAGCTCTGTTTGCACGAAAGTTAATCTCGCCTGTGCGAGATGCTGATGGAACGACGGCGACGAGAAAGGGCCGTACACGGGCGCGTACGATGATAATAATAAATGTTGCCTACTCCCTTCGTCCTTCGTCTCTCGCTCTCTCTCTTCGTTTTACCCACCTCTCGCGCGCTATGCGTGCCCTGCCGGCGGTTCCTTTGATCTGTCGCTTCGTTTGTGCATTTAAACACGAGTCGCCTAGATGCGGAGTGGAGCAGCGAGAGGCGACGAACGGAAAGAGACGGAGCGAACACATCGGGGTAGGAGGAGGGGGGAACCAAAGCGGTAAAGGGGTGCAGAGATCGAGAGGGAGAAAGGGGGGAAACAATGGCGGAGAGAAGCGGTGAGAAAGAGACGGCTTTGCAATGAGAGGAGAAAAATGGCTCGAGTGCCCGGGTAAAATCTCATCTGGACCTACGGAAGGTAAAGTGAGACGTTCGTCATTGCAAACGAGCCCTCCAACCTTCAATTTCCAGATTCCAGACATCTCTCTCTACGTCTCTTTTCCTTCCTTGTTTTGCGATTACAAAACGCGCATTTCCTCTCGGAGCCTCGTGACTCTTTGTCGCAGAATTGTCAGATACTTGAATCCGCTTCCTCGATGATAACTCCTCGAGATTAATGCTCTTTAATGTAGGACTTAATGGTGGCGGGTTGCGCGTTTTCGACGCGAGCCCTTTAAACTGCTCGCCCGGTTCGCCGACGAGCACCGCACCGTCGGCGGAAGGTACACGGAGCGGAATGGAAGGAAGAGAGAAGAGAAAGGAAGAAGAAATAACAATCAAACGATTCCGCCTCTCGTTTCATCCCGGATTCGAGTCGAGTGCGCCGGGGGTCCGACTGTGCGAATCGCTCGCGGAAATTTTCACCACTAATTTCGCGCAACAATTCGAGCCAGACGGTCCGCATGGAGTGGAAGGTCGATCAATGATCAGGCTCCGGAAGCGGAGAGGGACTGTCACGTGAACACGTGACGATTTCAAAGTTTATTCCCACGCGAGCGGTGACATTGAAAATGCATCTCGTTCTCGGCGGTCGCTATACGAAGTGCACACCAACAGATCCAATTGATTTCGCCGAATCGCTAAATCATTCCTTCGTTATTACTTGCCACGTGAACTCAATCAATTTATGCAGAATGCGTACGCGTCACGTGTATTAGATTTACAGCCTATAAAAAGGTAGCGCACGCCAGACACAACGGCAAAAAGATAATTGTTTGCAATACACTCGCGCACGGCGACGCAATACGTACACGGCACACCGACGTGAGGAAAGTTATTACGCAGTCCGCGTGGAGGATTCATTTTCGAAGTAATCGCGTTCACGTGCACCGCTCGTTGATGAAGCGTCTCTCGATGAGCGCCGCCGAGTCTGCAGGTCTGCGGGTCCTCGGCTGCTCAACGAGAGCGAGAGAGAGCGCGGCGCGGGAGGAAAAAAAGTGCCGACGACAGGAGCTCTCCTCGTGGAGCTCGTAGATAGAGGTAAAAAGATCGAACCGACTGAGGTGTTAATAATGCCGCCTCGGAAAACTCGAGAATGCAGTCGTTTCACGGACGATCAGCACACATTCGTGTCGATTACAAAACAAGATATTTCACAGATATTTTAGCTTCACTTATTAATTAAAATTATTTAATTTTGTTTCAAGGCAGAGAAACGTTTTAAATTTGTTACACAGCGTTATAATTGAAGAAATCGATTGAAAAGGGATAGATGTAACTTTACATATATCGTAAGTTGAAAAACGAGTATTTAAAAATATTACATCGCCGTTCTATTGGAGGAAGCAATTTTAAGAATGTGAATTGTATATAATTTTACATTTTTAGGCAAATGCGTGAAATCAAAGATTCGCGCGATTTGCGATTAAGATTTTATTTTATGAATCGATCGTTCGCTAATTGAGACGTAGATCAAAAGCCAGCCGTCGTTGCGGCTCGGCCTGCGACGCGACGATCCAACCGCCGCGCCGTGTAGTAATAAATTACTCGCGCGCTTTTGTAGAAATGCGAATCGTTACGTTCGCGGGAACGAGTAAATTATCGCGAGCTTACAGCAGCCGTCCCGGTTGCGCGTAACGCGCCCGCAATTTGCGACGTTCGTCCGAATGTAATTCTCCCCTTCCCTCCCCCCCCCCCAGTCGCTAACGACGCGCGTTTTTCTTTCAACTATTGGCGTATTTTTTTAACGAGGCCCCAGGCGCGCGTAATTACGTTTCATTTTATCTGTCGAGGGTGCCGGCGCGGCCGATCAATTTCATGCGGCGTGGACTAATGAATCAAATTAATGAACGAAGCCTTATCGTCCACACGGTCTTCGGTAACTGTTGCCCCGTGAGTTACGATGCGCCCTTCTTCGCCTTCGCTTAACCGACGTTACTTCCCCGCCGCATAGTTGAACGTATCGGGGCTTGACTTTGGTTTTCTTCATTAAAAAAGCTGGCCAAGATTTATCGACAATTATCCATTCGCATGCAATCGGAGTAACATTCAGTCAAAGTCAACATGATTCATCATTATTAATATTATTATTATTTGTAATTTTAATAGAATTTTCAATTTTGCACTTGTACGAGATAAGTGACCACGATTTATCGTTGTTAATATCATTATTATTATTATTATTATTACTATTTATAGTTTTCATAAAATTTTCAATTTTGTACTTGTACGAGAAATTACGAACTGTAGTTTTGCAAAGAATAAATAATGCCGCCGTGATACGGCGGGCATCGACAGATTAAATGTTTTTCCCGAATTGATACGGGTTCGCCGCACCCTCGGACACTGAAACCTCAGACAACTCCTGCCGCAAAGTCCAGATAAGTTGGGAAAAAAAGAGGGACGAGTATCCATCGACGTGAAGGGCAGCCGGCCGAGACCCTTCGGGCTCTTCCTTCGAGTTGTCTGTCCCTATACGAATAATGTATGGAGACGCGATCCTTTGCACGGACCACGGGGTTTGACGAGCTCGCTCGCGACGTGCGCTCGTCGCGACGAACCAGCCGCGGGAGAGACGAGGGATAAGCGTTCTCCCTTCCCCCCCCCCTCCGCTCTCTCTTAAAAGTCGACGTTTTATTTGACTCGATTAAATTCGTCGAGTGCAGGAGGCTCCGCGCGCGCTCTCGTTTTCAGACGACCGACGGCGGGTTTGATCCCCGGAGCGGGGCACAAAAACGGGGAGAGCGGCGATGGGAGGAATCGACCTGACATTCTCAGGAACCGAGAGCATCCTCTCCTCCACCTTCTTTCCCCCCTGATCCCTCCCCACGCCGTCCCCGCCTCTCGCCGGCTTCTTCTATCTCTCTAACGGAGAATTGCTTTCCCTCCCATTGTCCTGCCTGTGTGCGCGAGCGCTCTTCTTTTCACATTCTAGAATTCCAGCCCGGTCTGCCGCGATATCCCGCGCGCGGTTATTCGCCGCCGTTCCCGGCGTCGACGCGCCCTTCGCCTCCGGGGCGCCCTCAACGACGAGCGGCGTCGAACGTGAAGAAATTGGAAGCGGAGGTCGTTTGTCTCGTCCGTCTCTTCTCTCTCATTCGGCGCGTCGTCGCTCTCTTCCCCGATTTTCTTTGCCAATCTGCGTAGCACGAAGGAATCTCCGCCGAGAGAAGGGACGCGGGAATGCAGAGATGGAAAAAAAATCGTTCGGCGCACACCGCGCGTAATTACGCCGCGCACTCACCTCGCCGCGCCGCCGCTCGCAATATCGCGTATAATCTCCAAGTTATTAGCGTCATGAATTCACCGCGTCTAATATCCGCGATATTTAATAGCTCAAGTTTTCTTGCTTTCCTCCTTCCGTCGTACGCACGTGCATCGTAAATGCGATAGCATTTATAGAGTTTTACGAGACGCGCATCGTCCGTGGCATATCACGCGAATGACTATAACTTGCATTCTCGTCATTAAGGATAATCGACACACACATTTGTTAAAAAGAAACGGAAATAAATGTTATATCGCGCGGCAATATATCTCTTTCAATATTTTTTTCAATATTTTTTTACCAACAACCAGCGCATAGTAACGTAGTTGATGCTCTCTATTAAACATTCATTTTGCTTTCCTGTTACCTCCGCAGGGCTCGCGTGTAACAATATAATGCACCGTACACCGCAAACGTTTACCTCATTAATATCTGATCACTGCGTCACAGGCCACCATCGATTTCTGTTCCAGGGGTCAGCGAGGCGACTGTGCAGCTGCAGCAGCCGAAATTGCCGTCCGCGATCCGCGTGGACAGCGAGGTCGAGCTCCGGTGTCACGTCGACGGTTCCGGCGACATGAAATACGAGTGGTTCAAGTTGGTTGCTTCGTCTATTTTTACCTACAACTCGTCCATTTACCTGAGCGTCTCGCGCGTAATAACCGGAGCGAGGAGAGGGCAACTAATGCCGAGCGGGAAAAGCCAAGCGGGATGCGCGATGGGTGGCAACTGGGGGAGGGGAGGGGTGGACCCAAAACGAAGGGGGCGAACTACTAAGTTCCTAGCGTAACTGACACCCGACGTTTACAGGACCGGCTTGGTGAATTATAAAGTGACACTCCCTCGCCCCGGCGTGCGCCGGGATCGAGAGTTTCACCTCCGCCATCGCCTCGAATCATCCCCCTCGTCGTAAAGCCGCGACGCCCGTCTATCGCGAAACGCATCGTGCATTCAGCGGAGCTTAATGACGTCAGTCGCGCCACGTGTTGAAAAGAAAATCTCACGCGTCGGAAGAAAAACTTTCCCTTCGATATATTTTCGAACCGTTGTGTCTGTCGCTATTTTTGAGTTAGGGGCGAGAAACGAAGTTGGTTATCGCGCGAGGTAGTTTACACAGTTTACTATATAGTCTTCCGTATAAGAAATATTTTGAAGAACCAAAGAATACACGCATTGCAAGAATCGAGCGCTAAAGTCGTATAAAAACAGAGACTTGGCTTGTGAGTGTAAAAGACTCTGCCTCTGAATATAGAAGTGATAGTAATGTAAAAAGCGTAAAAATTTGATTGCACGTTTGTAAGATAATTTGCATGTCTCGCGAAGATGATTCGAGTTGAGGATCGTTTTACAGGAACACAGTGAGCGTTGCGCGAAGCGATCGTGTCGAGATCAAGAAGAAGAAACTGCACATACACAGAGCGGTCCCCGAGGACAGTGGCATGTACACCTGTCTGGCTAAGAACGATGCGGGATCCTCACCGGTGACCGAGAGCTATCCGTTAATCGTTTCCGGAAATGATACTGCGACGATTAAGGTCGTTCCGAGAAACCTCATCGCTAAGCGTGGCGAGCCGGCCGCTCTGCACTGCGTCTTCGAGGATGCCGACGAGGTGCAGTGGTTCTTCAAGGAAATCGGTCCGTTGGAATCCGACGAGGAACGGACTATCTCCGAGAACGGCACTCTCTTGATACACGCCGCCGATCAAAGGGACCAGGGATTCTACTCCTGCCATGGAATAAGGGACGAGACCACAGTCAGTTACACGGTCGAATTACAAATTGCCTGTAAGCGTCAGTGGATTTTCGATAGCCCGATAATAGAATTAAAAATAGTAAACAAGAGATAATCAAATAAGAAGACAAAAATAAATATAGACAACAGAATTAATATAGTAGAATTAAAAATACATTTAAAATTAGAAAAGAATGCTTAGATATAACATTTTTTATTATAACTTAAATATATTATAACATCTACTCGAATTGCTTTAAAAAAAAATTATTAAATAGTATAAAATAATAATTCTGATTGACATTTTGAGAAGTAAATTTCTTATTACACTTTTTGAAAAGATAAATGGAGTTTTGGACATAAATAAAACTTGCAGATTTGTTAAACTTTTCGATGGCTGCCTTCGAACCGAAACTTCCAACTCAGCTGGCGATTGTCGGCGAGGATCAAGAATTCCAAATAAGTTGCCTAGAGCCCTTAGGGCTTCCTTTACCCAAAGTTTATTGGAAAGATCCCATGGGACATATTATAAGCGACACTGGCCCTGTGCGCGTTCAAGACAACACGCTCATCATCGCGAGAGCACGAATGAGCGAGGACGACGGCAATTACACTTGCATGGCCGAGAATCTCGCCGGTGAAACGGATGTATCCGTCCAAATAGTTATATCAAGTAGGTATAATTTTTCCGACAAAGAATTACTCGCGTAACCAATACATTTTTCTATAGGTTTTCTACAATTAATTTAACTAAAATTGTTATCGCGCGTAAGGATTCAGAAAAGTTACAAATATTTTCTTATTTTAGCTCCACCAAGTATAATAAGCTCCCCAGAATCGCTCAGTGTAATGGAAGGTGATTCCGTGACTCTGACATGTTCGTATTCCGGCATGGAACCGCCGGTGACGCACGTGCACTGGCTGAAGGACGGGACGCAGCTGAGGGAATCGGGCGGTCCGACAAGATACCGCGTGACCGATAATCATGGCAATGTTACACTGCATTTCAAGAGCGTTGACCTATCTGACAAAGGGCACTACAAGTGTCAAGTATTCACTACGGGTTTCCCGTCTCTGTTTTCCGACCCGGCCGTTCTCACGGTCGAAGAGAAGCTCAAATTTTCACCACAACCTGTCAATAAACGCCTCGAGCTCGGCTCCACGGCGAAGGTATCGTGTAAGGCCCAGGGCGCCACGAACCCCACGGTAAAATGGGTCAAGGAGGGCGAGGACGAGGAATTCCCCAAACATGTTCAGGATATTAACGGCACTCTACACTTCAACGGCGTATTGGAGGAGGACAAGGGTCGATACACTTGTATCGCCAGCAATGCTCAGGGGTCCATCAATCACACGATTAGTATTGACGTAGTTAGTACGTATCGATGTTTGTACGGTGAATGTTGAACGAATATAATAAATTAATTTTTTATAATAAAAACAAATTGGTAACAAATTAATTAATATAATTAACGTGTTTGATTATTTTTCATAGTCGCGCCGAAATTCACGGTACAGCCGCAAAATCCAACGGAGGCGATCGAGGGATATCCAGTGATGTTACACTGTGCCGCCGAGGGCGATCCTAAACCGACCATTCAATGGGATAAAGATTCTCGCATGAACAATCTAGATAATCCTCGATTCGAAGTATTAAGTAATGGAAGTTTGTACATTAAAGAAGTGTATCTTAGTGACGAGGGAAAATACGGATGTACCGCTGGCAATAGCGGTGGTCTAAAGCGAGAGGAAGTTCAATTAAATGTAAAAGGTACTTACATTATTCACTGTTACATTATTATGTCCTATAATTTCTTAAAATAACCATTTTATATTGACTGAAAATTAATGCGATCTATTTTGTGATGATTATTATTTCAGCTGGAGATAATTATAGAGCCGACATGGATCTAGAGGCCACTGATGACGGAACGATGATGACTAAGACCGTAACGATCACTCTTAGCGCAGCCGCAGGGTATATGGTGCTTGTCGTAGGCCTCATGTTATATTGCCGTTACCGCCGTCGCCGTAGGAAGCAACAGTACCTACAGGAACAAACAGAAGGTATATGATGAATATTATAATATCAATATTAATATAATAATTTGATGATGGTGTAGTATTTAAATTAATATATTTATGAATTCTAGAAAAAATGGAGAATGGCGATGTACAGGAGGAACAAACAGAGTTGAAGGAAAGCGGAAATAAGGTAAATTCAACGAATAAGAAGAAGGAAAACCGCGATTCCCATAACAAGAGTGACGGCGCTGATACAGCTCACAGCCAGAGTAGCAATCAATCCAAGAAATCCAAGTCGAATTATGACAAGATCGCCGTTTCGCGAAGCAGCCTGAAGGAGTTGAAGCCTCTTGGTCGGGGTGAATTTGGTGAGATTTATTCTACGAAATATCAAGTTGATGGCGACAAGGAATCCTTGGTTATGGTCAAGAGTCTGATAAACACGAAGGACGAGACTGCTCTTCAGGAATTTAAACGACATCTGGATCTCGTCCATAAGCTTAACCACGAGAACGTCGTCAAGTTGATTGGCCTATGTCGAGAGGAAGAGCCCGATTATATGATTCTAGAATTTACTGACTGGGGCGACTTGAAGCAGTTCTTGATTGCCTCGCGAAAAGACAGCAATCCTAGCCCAACGCACGAATCGAAACCACCACGTGCACCCCAGCTGTCAGTGGCGCAGATACTGTCACTATCGAACCAGGCTGCGAAGGGCCTAAAGCACTTGGCCGACAACCGACTGGTCCACAAGGACATAGCCGCGCGCAATTGTTTGATCGCCAGCAATTTGTCGATCAAGATCTCGCTACCGTGCATGACCAAAGAGCCGTATCAGCAGGAGTACATGAAGCATCGAAATCAGGTGATTCCGCTGAGATGGCTGCCCTACGAGGCCGTATACGAGGACGAGTACTCGACTAAGAGTGACGTGTATTCATTCTCGTGTCTGGTCTGGGAGATGTTTCACCAGGGCGAGTTGCCGTTCAACAAGCTGAACGACGAGTCCGTGCTGGCTCAGCTCAAGGTGCAAACGCTCACGTGGAAGGCGCATAAGGCGGCGCCGCCGGCTCTTCAGGAGCTGCAAACTCAATGCTGGGCGAACGATCCGCGCGAGAGACCGACCTTCGACGAGGTCGTGTCGAAAATAGGCGAAATTGTGGTCGACAGTTGCCTGTAAGTTAGTACCGCGACCTAATTGTGCGAGGCTCTGAATATCGGAAATACTGCAATAGGGGTAATGATTCTGCGGAGCTGTATGTCGAGAGGTAAGGCTGACGAACGCCGATAACCACGCGGTGGTGATCCCTCCGCGTGCGAGGAGGAGGGGCCCGAGAATGCCGCGGTTTTTCGCGCGAGAATAATTAACCGGCTTTCATGTTTAAAAAAACGCTTGGTATCGATTATATACGCATAATGAATTATAGGGAACCCTGTTCTTTTGTAAAAGGAAAACGCTTGCTCATTAATCATTGAATGCGCGAGGATTACATGTCCCAATGACGTCGCCGCGAACCGTAATGTATAGACTTTACGCGGATTTTCATGCGTGTCATTTAATCCACGTCGTTGCATATAATCGAGTGAGTATTTATCTTTACTGTATGACGAATTTTGATATATTTTATATATGGAACTCGCTTCAGAGATTCGATTATCACATCATGTTTTGAGTAATCTTGAATTTTTCTATCGTTACGCGAATGTCATTTTCCGAAATCGCGCGAGCATTATGCCGTGCGAAGATCGAACGTTATATATCTCGATCTGCTCTACTACTTCCCTGTTACACAGATTATACAAACAGAACGAGATAAAAGCTCTGTTAGTTCCGCAATAATTATTCGTATTACAGTATTCTGTCGCGTCCACTAGCTCGATAAGAAAATAATATTTATTTCGAATAGCATCTCCGCTCCAATGACTGTTCTTCTATTGTCGGACTAAGTAACGATCTGTATGGACCCACATTACACGTTATTACAATTAATGCAATACTTAGTATACAGTATCGATATAATATAATAGGTATCATCACCACACATCGAATATTCGTAAGATACGTTAATTGTTAGGTGAGCCGAGACCGAAAACTGATAACGGGAAACGCGCAATCGGATCGTACGAGATTACGGTGAACGGTCTCACGATTGAACGTCGGTGATCGGACTCGGCGCTGCAATGACATGCATATTAAGAAAGTATCACGACCATATCAAATGACGAAGGAAATCTTATCTCCGCCTATTTACTTCTACACCGCTAAGACGTGAAAAAGAAACTTTTTATAACGTATATTATTTATAACATATATATTTATGTGTGATAAGAACCCAATCGACCACTCGTATTTGACGAAAAAAACGGCCTTGTACATACACCGATGGTATAACATGTAAGTTGTTTTTTTTTTTTTTTTAGCGCGAGATACTAGCGTGAATCATCGTGTTAATTTTCATTAGTGTGATCATTCGAAATCCCCGATGGCTTTTCATTAAAGAATTTCGTATATATTGGTATCAGAGGTGAAACCGATCACATCGCGCGTATGCGGCTAGATGCTGGCACGCGAGGGAAATAATAACGATAAAAACGGCATATAACAGAATGACGCTTGAAAAACCTATTTTTACACGCGGAAATTAGAATCGATCGGATCAGAGGCGAAGTATCGCTCGCGATATTTTTGCATTCGGGGGTCTACGGTTTGATAAGTATAGCGCGAACAATCTATGTATTTGACGCGATGGTCCAATAAGAGGAATTATGCTGAATATATATTCGACTCCGTATCCGATTTTATACAACGAAATATCAATGTTTATACTTTAACGTAAGTTTTAACGTCGTCCCTATTTTTGCATTTAATTCTACTGTAAGAGAAACTGTAAAGGAGAGAGAGAACTCGCGAGGCAATTATGGTGCGCGCACGTTTGCTTCTTCCACTTCATGCAGGACTTCCGTTGATGCTTCGTAAGCCAAGTGTTTGCAGGGTATAAAAGAAAAAGAACTTTATCACCGGTAAAGGTAACAGCTTTTAGTCGTGCGGGATAGACAGCGTTAGAAAAATGCTCGTAACGACAAACAATCGTGTTGCTATAACTTATTCCGCGTTGGATTTACGTATTATGAGTATACTTACCGATTCTAATGATTTTCGGAGGGTTAACGCGCGCATAGAGCCGTGCAAAATTAATTAGAGCCGCATTAGTTCGGCTTCGTCGATCGGCAGTGCGGTTCGATAGAGCTTCACATGTGAATATACACGAGAGCGCTTATAGCTTTTGAAACAAAAAAAAAGCGAAAAGTGATTGATATGCTGTCGAAAGATTTGTCAGTCCTTTGTCAATGTCGATCTCTATATCTTTAGAGGTTTTAACAGGTGCGGAATAACACCTTCGTTACGAAGTAACGATTTATTGAACCGTGAATTAAAATCGATCGCGCAGCTTGATTTAATACGTGTCTTCAGCAACGGAAAGAACTGAATGCGGAATCGCGGATTGAAAAGAATAAATAGAAAAGAAGAGTAGATCAATGCAACGAGGCTGCTTTGACATATCTGTTTATTATTGGCAATCCGTTTAAAATTCTTTCGAAAATTTCTACTTATCGGAAAAATTAGATGTTTCTTTCGAGAAGCAATTACGAGTGAATCTTCGACTCTGTGCATGCTAAATATAAATATGATGTATTATAAACGCATATTAGATATATGAAGCACTGACGTATAAAACACTGCCAATGATAAATACGACTGTTCTCTAATTTAAAGCACCTCTCGTTATACCGGAAAAAAAGTGCGAGGCGAACCGCGAAGGCTCACTTTGCTTCGTGAGAGCATCGTATTCGTGGGCGCTCTAATTAAGAATATGTAAAAGCACGAAATGAATAACCTTTCAAGGTATCGAATCACCCGAGCTCGTGGCGTCTCCTACGAGCGACTTTTATAATGCTTCCTAAATGTTTGCTACATACATCAAGAAGTTATCCTTGTGATCAGTGATGGCGAGCGTACTCAGTAGTGCTGAAATCCGTCGCGCACTTTTCACATTTATTTACAAGAAGGGGCTCGGCAGATGCAGTGAGGATTAAAATATTGTAAGATGGAAAATCTCAGCAGAGATTGGAAACGTGTCCATACTTTCGCAATTCGTAGTATTGAGTAGTACGAATTCGAAGTAATTCGATAGTTTTGTTGTCGAATAGAGAGGAAACCTTATCCAAAGTCTGATTGACGAGGGATATTGAGTTACGCGGAAAGTACGAGGATAGTCTAAAGAGTAGGATAGGATCTATTTTTAAAGCACGATCTGAGTACGACTCATCACTGCCTGTAACATAAACTACACTAGGAATATACGTTACAGCGATCTCTAGCCCGCAATTACGAGTATGTAAAGTTAAGATCAATTATCCAAGTCCTATGTGCTCATATCATTCGCTCAGATATTAATCGTGAACGACCATCACTGCCATAAAGAAAGCAACAAGGCACACCGATCGTCGGCGAGTTTCGTGAAGGCTATCTATTATGTCCAATATGTCTAGTCATATGCGATGACAAAGTGAACACCGTACGGGAAAGCTCATTTGAATGACGTTCATATCCTTAGGCGTTCCAAATCGATTTCTTTTTTACAGTATTTTGTAAATATTTGTACTTTTTTATCTACGTCGTACTTATGAATTTTTGGAATAGTATGTGCTACGATTAAATAAAGATGAGAAAACAAGTATACAATGCGTAACATGATTATATTGCGACCCATATCCTTACCAGAACTTTATCGTAACCTATTGATACCTTATACCATACTAAACGATAAAATAAAAAAATAAGTAGATGGTCTATTTTATCTCTCAAGATTTTAACTTTATCTTAAATCTTATTTAATGATTATATCTGTATTTTATAACAGTAAAAGTTATCGCGGAAAATTTTAATTTTTTTTATTTTATAAAAAAACTTATTTTCAGTCTATTTGAAATAAAAGTCGATTTTACGTAACGTAAATAAAATCGCTATTCGAATACGTAATCGTCAAACGTTCTAGTAAATAAAGTTGTTTGAAAGTACAAGTAGATAATGAGAGAACAGAAAATATTAATCCTTGCAACTTTCTCACGTAGCTAAGAAACGTCAGAGATGAAAAGACTGAAAAAGAAAGGATGCATGCTATCGTGGATAAAATACTTGTGAGTATTAGAAAAAGGGATGGCGTATTACCTAATCAAATTTATTTTTACTTAATATTTCATGGTACAGTCTATACCTATTATGATATATAAAATAACGTAGTCGTCGAATGCAAACAGGTTTTCAACGAAAGCAGAAACGTCGACTGAGTAGCGCCCAGGAAAGAAAGGTGATCGAAACGTCCGAAACGAAACGTGTAAAAATATCATCGATGCGAGAACGCAGTAACGTGAGAAGTGCGTTAAGTCTTTTACGTGTGTTTATATATTTACGTGTAAAGTCTAAAAAAGGTGAGGATGAGTCACTTAATCCTTTAGTACTTAATTCATTAATACAGCGTAGCAGCCTCACTCTCTAATAGTACTAAATATAATAATGGTATAATGCGGTAATTATATCGTTAATATAGATTATTAACATTATAAATAATATAATCGTCGGAATTCGTATAATAAACAATGATACAAGGTATTTTTGTCGTTTTAGTTTTTTAAATTGTTATCATATAGTAATAATCACAATAGCGTATTCTGAAAAATAGATTAGGGTCCCGTGGGCAGAGGGCGGAGTGCCTCATTTCTTCCGAACAATTTTCTCTCCGTTTCGCTTCGCTTCTCCCCTTCACTCTTTCCCTTATCCGTGTCGCGCATTAAAGTTCTCCACGGGTGCCCGGAACCTAAATTGGACGAGAATCTCAAGAACGATCGCAAGTCTCGACGGGAGCTCGCAAAGCCCGTATGGTTCTTCTCGTCTATGTCGTTCTAATTGCGCCGCATGGACTCGAAGCAGCCACGAAGAATCGCGCTGGGAATCCAGCGTTATTGAACTGCGTTTCGCACAACGGTCGTCGTCCGCTTTTACGTGACGGTATACCAAAAAGAAAAGATATAATTGCGAAGGTAGATCGCATCGCTCTATTTCATCACCAGGAGAGCACACACACACTTGTATGGCTTCGAGTCACTATACGAGTTGTTACATGATTCGAATGTTCCGAAGACAGTCGAGCGACGATGAGGCTCTCGGGGAGTCTCGATGAACATTCGACGTCGTTCGACGACCAAGGGCCGATTTATTTATCGACTCTCGATTTATTTATAACGATCTCCCGCGATCTTTTCGACTCTCGACGCGTGTCCCGTTGATCGAGGATCCGTACAGTATATATCGTCGCATCTTCCAGGTACACTTTGAGTGTTTTGTAGCAAGACTAAACTGCGCCGTCTCGTCTAGCCCTCCCCTAAACTTGTCTCTTCTCCTCTTCCTCACGACCCTTTCACACATTTCTGTTCTAGCTTTCCTTTTTTTTTCTTTTTTTTTTCAATTTTTTTTTTTTAACCGCGTCTCTGCCACTCTGCCTAGGGAACCCACTATAACAGGGCACTATGAACAGCAGTCTGCTGGCTAAGTGACTTTCCGAATCTACAATCGTTCCTCCGCATTCTCTCTTCGTTCTCTTTCTCTCTCACTCGATCAGATTCCCCTCACTCGCCCTGTCGCGCACTCTCTCCCGCCTAATCCATCCGCACACAAGAGTTCACCCTCCCGTTCTCCTAATTCCCGTCCTCTCGATCTTGCTCTCTATTTCATTCTCTCCCTCTGTGGCAGCCTCTCTCTCCCGTCATTTACCCCTCATCTCTCACCGACTCCGTCCGCGCCGTACGCTTCCCGGCAAGCCTGTCGTTTACTAATAAATCCCGGCTGTGCATTTCTATTCTTATAATCTCGCGCATAAAACTCTTAAACGGGAAACGCAAACGTCGTGTAAGGATAAAAAAAAAACGCAGCATGAAAGACAACACGTTGCGCAACGATAACCGCGTTGGACGAGGTGTTGACAGTCGAACGGAAAGAAACCCTGCCGCGAGTGCAAGAGACAAGAAAAATAACGGACCGGCGAACGCAATCCGTATCTGTGTCAACGAATCGGGAATTAACCAACAGGCAAAATAGCACGGAAAGAAAGCCCTTTCTTTCGTTTTCTCAGCGTATCCCCGGACAAGCCGATTTAACACGTGCACACGCTCCCAAAACTCACCCCTTTCCCCTCCACCCCCATGTGTCCCGCGACGAATCGCGCGACGTACCCATTCCCGTCCCATTCCATCCCATCCAGACCCGTCACAGAAAAATCGACAAAAGCTCCCCTTCGCCAGCATGCTTCTCCTATGTCAGCATTCACACTACGTGTCAGCCAATAGTAAACCACTACTGTACCTTTTTCGCGTTTATGATATTTTATACTTTACTTTTTTAATTATTTTTTTTTGTTCGTTAATATTAGACGTGCCATGTCTCTACCATCAGCCTACTGCCAAACTATCTATCTCCTCCGCTTCCGCTTCTTTTTCCCTCTCTTTCCCTTTCATCCAGCCAATCCCTTCTCCCTCTTCAACCCTCTCGCTCGTGCCGCGCTTTCTCCCTTCGCCGGGTACCTTCCCACTCGCTTTTCCTTTCTCTCTCTCTCTCTCTCTCTCTCGCTCTCTTTCTTTCTCTCTCGCAGTTTATAAATAGTATTGTATTAATATCATCATCCTTCGTGTGTGTTACAATATAATAATCGGCAATAATATACCTTCATTATTAATGCGTATCGTTATTATTAGTATCGCTCTCCTTCTCGCTCCCTTTTCCTTTCCCTTCTTAATACACCGGGTCATTTTTCGTTCAAACGCTACCGTGAATCGCGCGAGTGTACGAACGAACGAATGGATGAATCGTCACGCTGCCCTGTGCCACACAGAATGGATGTCTGCGATCGATTAATGGTGGTTGCTCCGATTTTCCGATGTTCGGTGTGCTGCGCGCCGATACGGGATTTACAAATACACACGGCGGAGACGCACACACAACACACAATCCTGCCCGATTAATTAAGTTGAAGGACCACCCCAAATTGCGACTCTGGCCCGAGACGCGCGGCTCTTATTATTCAACGAAATCAACGAGCTGTCGTTCATTCATCAATGTCGGAATATTATCTTGATTAAAAAAAAAAAAAAAAACAATCGGAAAGGATGCAATGTTCCTTTCGCGTCTGATTGATTTATTAAACGATCGTCGACGAACATACGCCCTCGCAAACGGCCTCGTTACCACGTCGTCGTACACCACACGGCGAATACAAAGCATTACGCGAATTTTAACACCGCGTATAGCACCGCAAAGTACGACGCGACTCCTACATCCGACGAATGAGACACATAAATCGGTTCACCGACGCCACTCCGGCCGATCGGATCAATTGACGAGTCTTGCATATGTTGCACAAGTGTTCGCGTGTGTGTGCGTGTGTGTCCGCGTGTGTGTACGTGTCCAGAGCGATAATTGCAGTGACTTAATTAGAGATCCTTAAACGCTAGAAATCGGTATCGTGGCCTTCCGACTTTAAACGCTATTTTAATGTACAGTCTGCGTCTCTCGTCGCCGCTCTCGCATCGTCCGAGGACGATCCGCGCGAGGAGATCCCCGGATCCCCTTTGCGTCAGACTCGCCGTCTCGCGCGAATTTATCGATCTCGCGAACGGCACGACGTGAGCGCGTCTGTAACGAGTAATACAAGAGTAATAACATACGATCGGATAACGAGTTAGCGTGCGGCGAACACGCAATCGTGACGCTCGCGAGACTGCCGAGACGTCGATTTACCGAACGTTCGCCAGGTCGAGGAGTACGAATGTCGCATCCGAGCGACACGTGCACGCGCGTGACAGTGAGGAGAAAAATTTCGCGGCAGTAAAATTCGGACCCTGGTCGAATTTGCGATGAACGAGCGCTTCCCCCGGCGGATCTCGACTTCGGTCGATGTGAGGCGAACGACAAACGGTCGTCGAACGACGATTTGATCTTACACGAAGAGGAATCGCGAGGCGGGTAACTTGATTGATCCAAGTGGGTCGCACGCAAAACGCATACACACATACATACGCGCACAACACACACGCATCACGCATACGCGGTGCCTCTTCCCACTTGGCGCGGTCCTAAAGGATCCTGTCGTCCTCGCCTCTTCGTATATCGGCGCCGGCATCGCCGAGAATGACGATGACGACGACGACGACAATGACGACGACGACGACGACGACGATGATGACGACGACGGCGGCGACAACGTGTGCCAGAGTCACATTTGGGCGTATTCTTTTTTTTTTTTCGCGAATGGTTACTTTTTTTTAAGGATACATATGGCCGACTAAATATATAGACCGGCGTTTTAAAGTAGCGCATGCTGCCGGGCGGCCGCCTCCGTCGGGACGCACACTTCGCCGAGCTTCTAGTTAGTTAGAGTAAAAAATAGCGTAAACGGCACTGTATTAGGAAGAAGCAAAATACATGTTACATTCTCGTTATTTTATCGTTGATAAATGCTATAGTGTTTTTTTTTCCCTTTAAAAATCTTCTGTTATCGCAATGCGTTACATTATTATGATTATTCTTAAGTGTTAATTATCATATTGTTATCGTTATTATTATTAATATTATTATTAGTGCTCGCTCATTTTACAACGCCGCGCGGGGGTGGCCCGTCGCGCGGCCAGCAACCCCCGCGTCGGAAAGAAAACACCACCGTTTCTCACGCTCGTCAGACTATGAACGTATGCCGGAGAGGGCGGGAACGGCGATACTCGTTCCGCCGCTCCTTCCTTTTTTTTTCTCTCTCTATCTTTTTTTCGCCGATTCTTCATTCTTCCTCACTTAATTACAAAGCGCGGAACGGGAGTCTCGTTCTTCTGCAGTCGTTCGTCGCGTTTTTTAATGATTAACAATCGCGAGACTCTAGCCGTCGTGGCAATGGAGTTTTCGTTGAAACGCGAATTTCGAAAAATACAATGTCCTCTCTTTTTTCTTCTTTCTCTCCCCCTCTCTCTCTCTCTCTCTCTCTCTGTCTTTCGTCTCTCTTACATATACACATATTTATATATATTATAATATATATATATATACTCTTTGCTTGGTGTGCCACACTTTAAACGGAACATCTGATCGGCGAAATCCTCCGACGGCTGGGGACTTGGGGATGCGGGAGATGGCTGCAAAGAGAAGGAGACTCCCGTTTCATAGATTCAACGCTAGTAGTAAATTTGTTTAACATTAGGTACTAATTCTCTCCCCCTCTCTCTCATTAAGTGGCTTACAATTCGTACAACTCGCCTATCATGTAAAACTATGACGTCTAAGATGTCCGAATTAACGCTAGATCTCGATAATAATCAGATCGGATAAATTAATAGTCGTAACTGTGTATGTATCAACTAGGCTAGACTTCGACGGAAAAATATATTTATAAAAAGTTATAATATATATCATATATTAATATACGTTTCAAGCGTTCTATATATATTTATGTATTTATATATATATTCATTTTATTTATTTATATATATATTTATATATTTATATATTTATATACGTATGTATCATTACTAATCTTCTACTTATCTCTAAGCTTCCACATCCTCGCGAATCGCATTTCATACATACTTCATCTTCTACCAGATCTCCCCTCGAACGAGGAGACCTATTGTGTGTTCCTAGGTTCATTTTTCTGTTTCAATTTATAAGTAACTGGCTAAACTCCTCTCTCCTGTTAAATATACAGACAAATAACTCGGGATTCGAGGAATTGAAATGAAATAATGCATGAAACATCGTTACATCTCCCGCGACACTCCGTTAAACAACGCAAAAGAATCACGCGAAGCCTATTAATCGAATAACGTTCTTCTCGCACGACCCCCGTTTATAACAATGCCGGACAAACGAATTCATTTACACCGAGTCGAAAGTCGCTCTAAATCGACCACATTCGATCGCGTCATTGTCTTGGATGGAATCCGTTCCTTATTGGCTTAAACAACATGAACGTCACGAGCTTCTTGAACACGTTTATACAAATCTTGGTTTTTTTTTTACTTATTTTCCTTTTATTAAAGCATCAACGCTCGATAATAATATTGTAAGCTTATTAGACTTCTGACTTTTTTTTTGAACACCGAGCTACCGCTACACCTCTCATTCTCTCCCTCTCTCCCGCTCTCGTTTGCTCACACATTTATACATCCATACATGCATACGCATACACTCATTTTCTCTCTCTCTCTCTCTCTCTTCCGTTCTCTCTCCCTCTCTCTCTCTCTCATTCTTGAAAAATATTTCGTGGTGCACGATATCGCCCTGTTTTTCATGCATTACTTGATTCCAACGTTTAGTACAATTCTACGATCTTAATATCGCGAGTGTCTCCCAACTAGTGTGTCGTCAACATGATTATTTAAAACTCGCTAATAAGGTGAACATCCTTACACGTCTGCCTCTCTTACGTCTTTGTCTTTTCGTCGCGTGTCACGTGTGCACGCACGTGTTTTGTGTATATAACCGTGTCCGAGTCTGTGTGCAAGGGGGACCACCTTCCTATCGTTAATGAATACCGTTTTGTGCGTCTTCTAACGATTAACCATCACAATGACCAACGGTGCCTAGTTTACAATTAATATCTTTGGTATCATGCCTGAGTCTTCCGTTTACGAAAAAAATCACTAAACAATTATTCATAGAATCTTGTTTGGGTTACGGTCACGAGTTGCCGTTTGTCGTATCAAACTTAGAAAAGGATTCGTCCTTCGCGCGACGCGAAACAAGCGATTAGAAATGCTACTTATAGCTCCCGAGGGATAATTAAGTGTACGACAAGGAATGTCGGATTGATTATATGGCAGCTTCGAACCACGTGGAAAATATGACCACGGGAAATGATGTTCCTGCTATCGCTATTTGTTTCAAGCACAAAATATCGGTTTTTATCTTAAAGTCTACGCCTCATGGCAGTTTGGATAATTTCCACCTTTATTCAGCGCGTTGACAGTCAATGAAATACCTATGGGTATACTCACGTCATTTTCTTTTTCTTATGAATTCGTGCTGATTCACGAGGACTATATTCGATTATGCTACTAATAGAGTCAACAATTCGCTTTGTGATAAACTTTCGTTAGTTCTTTAGAGCGAAGTGTAATAAAGAATAATTTGTGCTTGGAACGGTGATCACTTAAGTGATAATAAAAAGGTTTGATCCAAATTTTTACGAAAGAAAAATCTCTCGTCCACGTCGATCGTAAAAACTTCTAAAAAAAAAAATAAAATAAATAAATGCATTGTGAGACTCGCCCTTAGGGGATCCTTTCAGTCTTATTTTAGGGATAATTTTTCGGCGAGCTCTCGGGATGTATTTCAATATGGAATTGATAAATTGAACAAGTTAATGATTAATTTAAAAAAAAAAGAGTGATAATAGAATCTATAAAAGTTTACAACCTGTAGTATGTATCCGTGTATTTGTGTGCGTGTCGAAGAGTTTGGGTTCGATTGTTCACGAAAATTCCACGATCGGTGAAAGACAGTCTGCTGGAATGTAGTTTCTTTGTTTTTTTTTTTTTTCGCGACGCCGTAGAATTGCGGGAGACAGAGATGTCAGAAATCAATGATATATGCGCGTCACGGTGACGCGCAATTACTGTACGCGTAAAATGGATACAAAAAACCGTAGAAAAAATATTTACAAAGCGCAACGACGAATTCTTGTGAACAAAAGACCGTGAGATTCCATCACCACGTGCGTCCGTGTCTCGTCTCTTCAGATCCGTCGAGAGAGCCCGATGAGTGAGAAAAGCCCTCCCCACGTTTCTCTTACCCCTTCCGACGCTCAGAGAGCGTCTCGCGTCATATAGAATATATCACATACATGTTTACTTCTCTAAACACACTGAAATAAGAAGCACTTTAAGATAGATGTCTACATACACCATCGGGCCCAGGTTAGATGGACTGATTTCTCGTTTTCGTTTTCCAATTCTCCTGTCTTTGTAACCCCTAACTGATGTATATGCTTTTTTTTGTATATATGTATTATGTACATATAAGCGCTGTGCCTCTCACCTTTTCTCCCGCTCTCTTTCTCTTTCTCTCGCTTTCTTCACTCTCCATTACGTATATGTGCAGGCGTTGAGAACGCGCGTCTCCGAAGCATACACAGAACTAGAACCGACATTCGCATACAAGAAACTAGAAAGTAATATCGTCTTGAATGACTATTTTAACATATCCAATGGACAGCAACAACGTAATTGTCTGCTGCACGGATACATTAATTAACACATCCTTAATGCAATATAGCAATCTCCACGATTTTATGCATAATTTAAATTTTTGCATAATGTGTTATGCAACAAAAATCACTGGATAAAATTCATATTTATATCGAAATATTAAAATGTATAAATTACATTAAATTGCAGACAATTTTATTTTACAATAAAATTTTTTTAACGTTACTTTACCATGCTCGAGTAACTCTCTTCAGATCCAACAATCCTCACGTGGTGTAAATAAATACTCTACATTTGTAATATATTTAATTTAATATAGGTATTTGTAATATATTAAAAAATATATAAATAAAAGTAAAATAAAAATTACGAAAGAAATGACGAAACAGATAAAAATGTAATGTAAAAATAAAAAGACATAGAAACGTTATTATGTACAATTAATTAAATGCATTCCGTATGATCCGTTTGGTCAATCGCGATAAACATTCGGCCAACAATGTCGATCATCGTGATCGTCTTCAATTTCGAGGCACGCAGCAGTGTTACGTGGTCTATAATGGCACTATCAATCACTCGTATTAAATATTACAACGTTAGAAAAATTGCGTGTTTCGAGTTAGCGGATAGTCTCCTTTAATTGACTTTATGAAAAAAGCCTTGTCGTAATACTATGCTGTGTTAGCTTTACAATATACCGACCTCGATATTAATTGTCAATTAATAAAATAGTGGAGATTACGACATTTTGTTTTGCGAACCATCGCGTAACGTTTCGCACTATTTTGTCAATCGAGCCTAATCACCAAAGTTCACTCGAGTTTACAGTTGTCGAGCATCGATAATCGTAGAATCCCTCTTTCTCTTTCTGTATCCTACATACTCATTCTTCTGTGGATTAGTGCTAAAGATCTACGGCAATCGCTACGCTAAAATGTTTGCGTTCGCCTTATTTATTCTTCAATATGCACGGTTAAAACGAGCTAATGATCATCGTAACGCCCATCGAAACACTTGTGGCTGGAATGTCATTCCTACGAGGATTACGAAATGCTACATTATGACACTGCGATGATACGCGATCTGCAAACAAACTGCTCTCTACGCACAGCTACTTGACTCGACGTTTCCCAATGCTCGTGATGGACAATCGATTTCGCAATTTCGAAAATTCCTCGATCGTTTTTCTTTTATGCAAAACAAACGATAACGTCTAGACTCGATCGACGTAAAACTCTAGTACCCTAATTTTTCATTACGACCAAAGCAAAGTCAGCGTCAAAACGAAAGTCACGCGCAAAATAAGATGATTCAGGATTGAAGGCAAGAAAGAAAAGTATCGCGGCATCCATCGAAGTACTGCGAGATCTCTGGCCTGGACTCTCCTCTCGATTAGTCGCTCTATACATTTTGGTATAACGCGCTAGGACTGTCGAACGCGCTCTTTCTCTCTCTCTCTCATCCCCTCGCGTCGCCGAACCGAAAGTAACGTACGATAGCGATCGTGATGGCGACGGCGATGACGATGATGACGATGACGATGATGGCGACAACGATGACAACGGTGACGACTATGATCGATAGATGAAACTGCAGGGTGGCGTTGGTGGCGGCGGTGGTTGCTGCCCGCTCATGGCGATCGGTACGAGGGTGGGCGAGGGTGACGAGGAGGGAGGGGACGGGGAACTCGATGACACACTCGACGATGGCGAGGGCGATTCCAATGCCCTCGGGCCGGCGAGCTCACGATTTGACTGTCCCCCGGACGTCACAGCGCGACTACTCCTGCTGGCCGTCGTCGCGTTGTGGCGATTGCGCGCTGGCCGTCCTAGGCTCCGGTGACGGCCACCCCCCTCCTCGCTCGTTTCTCAGAGATAAACCTTCTTGACGCTGCGCGTGGTCGCAAAGCCGTCGTTGCGACGATACGCGTCGCCCTGGTGGGAGCGAAGGGTGCCAAAATTGTCGCCGCGGGGACCCCCGCGGAAACCGTAGCCGTCCGGGAATTGAAAGAGGGTCTCCGTGGGGGTTGGCGGTGGTTTCCTCATGGTACCTTTCGGGGACTGGAGTTTCGGAGGTTGCGGAACCAGCACGGGCTCCGCGTAGGTCACCTCCTCCTGCGGTAGCAGCTTCGGCTCAGGCGCCAGCCTGCTAAATGTGGATAAGCAGACATTACTAAGAGCGGCAAATGGAGAAAATTATTCCTTCCACCCGAGTCCGTTCGTCCGTTGAAGCAAACATCTTACCTGTTCACATTTTGGCGTTGCTCAAAGTACTCGTACTCCGTGTCCGGATATGGTAGATTGTCGTCCTCGTCTTTCCTGCATTTTCTGCCGCATAAATAACCGGCTACGAAGCCGACGAACAACGCGGCCAGCGCACCCGCTACCACGGCCATCACGAGAGTCTCCACCGAGTATTGTGGAGGAGGCGTGTCAGCTGCGGATACTTCCGGACCTGCAAATAACATAATATCAATTCGATAACACGTGAAAACGTAAAAGAAGCAAATAACGAATTCGTTCACGCCGGTTGACAAGCTACACGTACCTGAGCTGTCCTGTTCCTCGTCCTGCATGATGTTAATGATTTCGCCGCCGGGGCTGTCCTTATTCGGTATGGAGTCCTGCGGGAACTTGTTCTGATTGGCGGAAATAGCGCCGACGCTGCCGGCATCCTTGTTAAGGCTCTTGCTCGCCGGGCAAGACGCGTGTAGACCGGTCGCGACGCTCTGCAGGAACCTGCTGGCGTCCGTCGCCGCCGGGCCGACCAACGCTCTGCACTTGTTCTCCACCTTGTCCCAGGCGCAGTACGGATCTTGCAGGGCCACGCACTCGCTGCACGACAGTATCCTGTCGCTGTAGCAGCGATGGAGTCTCAGCGCCTGCACCTGACTGTCGGCGATGACGACCAATCGGCCGTCCTCGAGGCCGTCGCCCGCCTGCGAGGCTCGGACGACCTTGATGCCGCGAACCGGTACTGTCGGCGGGAACGCCTGTATCTCCTCGATCACGACCGGACTGACTTTCTGGTGAGAATCGGCGGACTCGGCGTTCACCGCCTTGATCACCTTGCCGTTGTCCGTGCCGATGAAGAGGACGTCATAGGTCTTGCCGCCCGGAGTCTTCACTTGAGGATCCACGGCGATCTGAGTGAATCTGTAACTGGATCGTCAGAACCATGTTATCGATGCCTCCCGCTCTGTGTCGTCAATGCGCGAACACGCAAAGCGATCAATTTACATGTTATAATTCACTCGCTGCGTTTCGCTGTAGAAAAAAAAAAAAAGAATTCGCAGGGAAAATAAAAACCGTCTATCAACGTATCGAGCGTACAGCAACGTAAACCGCGCGCTCGCATCGATGCAAAACATGCGACGCGGCGATGCGCGATGAAAGCCCGAAAGCGTGGTTCCGCGCGCTCGCGCGCGCGCGCAGTTTGCGTTCAATTTGGATTTCGGCTCGCGGCCGAAATCTCTCGGCTCTCGAGCGATTTTCACTTACTGGAAACTAGTGCGTATAACGATCGGCTGGCCGAAAAAGCTCGGCACCGACTCGTCCATCAGCGAGTGCGTGTTGATGAAGTTGAGCGTCAGATCCGGCAGTGTGCGCGAGTCGTTGGTGCACTGGCCGGGCCGCGGATCCGGCACCTTCGTGTCCTGCACCGGCAGCCAGTTGGAGTTCATGGCGCTCTGCTCCTTGAAATTGCCAGCGAAGGTGTCGGCGATGTCCTGCAGCGAGAACGCGCACACCGCCGAGCCGCTTATGCTGTTCACCGGCGTCGTGAAGGTGCCGTAAATGAGCTGGGCCGACGTGCCGCCGTACTGGCCCGATATCAGCTCGGTCGTTGACTCTGCGATCGAGATATTCCTTAAATCGCTCGGAGAACGTATATCCTCGATGATGCAATATGATTCATTCTGTATCTACTATATAAATTCGTATATCCGTTTCTACTGATACAAAACGCTCGAATTCAAGCACTAATGCCTACAATTATAATCCTTATGTAACTTGAAGACAAAAATCTCAATTGAAATGTCGAGATATGGAAAACTTGATTTCACAAATTATTATAAAAACATAAAAGTCTTCTCATGCAAAATCAATTTCAATACATCAAGTGGATGACCAAAGAAAGACCAAATCGCGTTCACATTGTATAAATAAAAAAACATCCAATGAGAGATACAGATTATATGTCTGTCATGCAATATATTAAAAAAATTGAAAATATATATAATTTCTTCGATCACAAAGAAGAGTGAATTTTGAAAAAAAAATGAAAGAAAAAACAGGACGTGAGTTGAATACACTCAGAAAGCGGTCGGTATATCAAAGAACTCGCACGTGGTTCACCACGGGAGTACACGACGTTCGTCTACTTACGTATCTCGTTAAAGTAGAATGGAAAGTCTCCGGTGACGGAGCAATTGAGACGCGACTTCAAGAAGGACGTCCACCTGTTACGGAAACGATGCGGTCCGCCCCGGTCGTATTTACAGACTCGCGCCACGCGAGAGTAGACGGCCTGCGAACGCGAAAATTGCGTCCCGTAAATTTCACTGTGGAAAGCGTAAGGCGAGAAAATTTTATTTCCCTCCCCCACCCCCTACCCCCCTCCCTCCTGCCCAAAAAATGTGTCACGATGAAAAAGGACGAGGCGAATGAATGAGGAAATCTAGTTTCAGCTTTTACGCGCGCTATTAAAGTGACACGCACGTTTCCGGGTGGCACAAAGCGTATAGCATAAAGATTGCGCGAAACTTCCTGCGCGGAGCAGCCTGTACGAAATGTACCGTATACCGTGTACTTCCAGCAGGAAAAAAACGCGATTCACGAAAAATACACTATGGAAATATATACTGCGCGCGCGTAAAGAGGATAAAACGGGCGCGCGTGATTTAGCGGAGAATTTATCGTGACCTGTAATTAAAATAGAATTCGCAAGCGTGTACTCGAGCACGTAAACGAATATAAAACGGGAAGGAAACGGAGGAACGCGCCGCGCTCGCGCGATTCCGAAGATCTCGGAATGATTTATTGTGCCCCCCGCCTGAGATTATAAATTTATTCCGAGTCGCATAAAATTTCTCCCGCGACGGTTTGCCCGCGCGCGCCGCAATCTTTATCCATAATACCGGCGTCCCAACTTTTTCCGCGGCCGGATTTATCTCTTCGCTCGCCGTAAAATTATGCGTCATTATCAGAGAGCACGGAAAGCCCCGGCTCTCCGCCTTTGACAATAAGTCGAGCTTCGACTTAAGCTTTCGTCCGCAATGAGTCCGAGATGCGCTCACAAGCTCTCGCTGCCGCGGGCGGGCACACCCGAGGATATTCGTCTATATATGTATATATATGTATGTGTGTGTAACGAAGAGAAAGAGGAAATGACGGGCTTCTGAAAGCTTGATCTTCAATGCGACGCGACGGGAGAAAGAAATCATAATCGCCTTACTCGCCGTTAAAAAACGTCCGCGCGCGGGAGAGTAACCGCGAGACTTTCGCGAAACTTTCGCGCGTATTATCCGGGCCCGACGCGGAAACTTAATCCCATCCGACGCGACTCTTCCACTCCATTGTTGTCCGTTGACCGTGCGCTAATTCGCGCCGAACAAAATATTGTGGCAGGAGACTTTTTCTGTAGTACGCGAGCCAGCGCCTTTATCGTGCAAATTTCGATTTGCACCGTGAAAGCGGGTGGTGCGGGGTATTAAATCTTACGCGTGAAAATGACGCACGGCGGGAGTTAATGGCGGAAATAATGCTGTTTAAGCGAGTGTCGCTTCCCTTAATTGCACGATCGATTTTTATCGTCGGGACGCCAAAACGCGCGGACGCGTTACATCGCGTTTCACGAGTCGCGCTCGAGATTTTCGAAATACATTTGCGTTTCGCGACGATTCAATAATTACGCGATTCCTTCCACTCGAAATCTATGCGCTCGAGATTTTCAAAATACGAATGTCTACGTTCTGCGACGATCCAATAATTACGCGAATGCGCGTACGACGTGCGCGATTCCTTCCACTCGAAATCTATGTGGGTGTAGGGTGATTAATTGCCGACGATTCCTTACCTTGCCGCAATTGATATATTCTACAGCGGTCTCTCTGAAGAAGAAGTAGACGAAGTCTCCTTGGGACATGGAGCTCACGAAGTTCGGTGCTGCAATTAGAATATGTAGCCATTATTACTAACTGCTATTGCCACCGCGCACGGCGATAGTAAATGGCGCCATAAATTCCCCTTATAAATAAATGAGCGTAATAACCACCTACTGGAACGCAATCGATGGTATGTAATAAAGTAGACAACGCCTCGTACAGTACCTACCCGGAAAATAGGTAGAGGGGGGAAAATCTCGCCCCGCGATTTATTTAAAAACTTCTATTTCCACTCGCGACGTCGCGCGATGAACATTAATTTGAGCGGCTCAAAAAGTTAAGACAGCCGAGAGTACAGTTATTTACGCTAACAAACGTTCCCCTTAATTGTGCCATTAATTTCGACAAACGTGGTAATTAATTGGCCGTAATTACCGGCGATTAAGTGCATCAAGACACTCACGTTGACAAACGACGCGTTAGGCCCGATTATTAACGCTCGAAAATTACGTACGATTCCGCCGTTGATAATCGTGTCTCACCGATGAAATAACAAACCGGACAGAATGCGAAAGTGTCAAATAGACAAGAATCAAATTAGACGGAGATTCGCGACTCGGATGCGAAAGTTTAGCGATACATCGGCATCAAAGGCAGCGGCCAGGTATACGCAGGGCACTCGAGGCAACTCTCATCGCCAATAAACCAGCTACGTGTAAGGAGCCCTTTTATTTTCTCTCGGTTATTTCAACGCCGTCGCCCGGTAAAACGCTGCCGTCGCGTCGCCGCTACCGCTGCGTCGCGGTTCCGCCGTTCCGGTCGACCGCCCGATAAAGTGGGAAAACTTTATCGATTTATTAACTTGACAGGGTTTTCATAAGCTTCTTAGGATTCATAAAGTAATATTAATCTCGCCATGCCACGTAGGTATATCCGAACGACCCGTCGCTCTCCGCCCCATAAATTCTCCTCGTTTTACCCAACCCCTTTAGCGAGAGAGCTCTCCTCCAGCTCCCCCCCCCCTCTCTCTCTCGCTCTCTCTCTCGCTCTCTCTCTCTCCCTCTCCCTCTATCTGTCGTCGCCGGTTCGCCTTCCTTCCTTCCTTCCTTCCTTCCTCGCTTCCTTTCCACCTCGCGTCCCACGTCGCGTTTAACTGCACCACCGTCGAGACAAAGTGCCGCAGAAAATTCGCAGTGAAGACCAGGGCCCTTTTCTCGAAAGGGAAACACTTCCGTCGCTCTCATCCCCACGTTCCCCCGAGTATCTCACCTTCCGCGATCTCCCACCGCGGCCGATTAGAGAAAAATGCCTCTCTCAGACGACACGGTCCGTCCCCGTGTCTTCCGCGCCTCGTCGGGAATCATTCGTCCGGAGATTTTCGATTCGCGATTTGCCGAGGGGAGCGACCGACGCTGAGCAGCGGCATAGGACGGCGCGGCGGCGGGATGGAATTGAATTTTCGACGGACGGAGAGAAAATCAATATTGTCCAACGGGTGGAGAAACTTGATTAGCGCTCTCGTACACCGTTCAATTAAAATACCCCAGCTGGACTGGTGGAGGCTCCCGCCGTCTCCGCCTCGAGCAAAGTGACGTATCAATTTTAACGCCGTGACGACAACGAAGACGGTACTTTGAAGTTGCATATAATACACCATAGTATATAACACACCGAGAAAAATCAGTTTTTAATTTATTAAATCCACAAAGGGGCTCCATATACACGACGATATAAGCGGCAATGTTGGGCGAACAAAGAACTCATCGATAACCGTGGAAATCATAGCGTGTATCAACACGTTTCAAAAAGCGCGATAAAAATCTGTTATGTCTACAGCGTTAATTAAAATCGTGTTTAAATTTCGTTAAATGGAAGAGAAAAAAAACGGTGTGGTGTATTTTCGAATATTTCGAATGTAGCCAAATAAAAAAAAAAAAATACGAAATCATGTAAAAATTCTGGACACCGAATGGAATAGAATCCCATTCGGTCGGATATGATTTAAACAATAACGACATTTTGTCAGTTAAAAATCACAGCAGTTGGCCGACTGCTGTGCGATATCGCATTCCCGCCACACAGACAGGTCTGTATTACGATGCAACGGGGTCGTATTACAATCTCCGGGGCAAATTTCAAGCCGATGGACGCGGCGCGGCAGCGTCGTTACACGAGCACGGAAGATCCGCGGAATAATCTTGGAGCAAGTACGACGAGGGAGAGAGCTTAGAGAACCACGTACACGCACGGTTAATCCCGGAATTACACCGTGTGGATTAGGAGCACCGGGGGAAGGTGGGGGATGCACACGGTCGCGGCTACGATCGCGCGACATTTCTGCGAATAATTTTCCCGGGGGAGGAGGGGGAGGCGCGCGAGCGCGCGCGCCCACCGGATTTTCAAAGTCGACCCGGCGCGCGGCCGAAACTTGGCGTGCAAATATTGAATCAAACTCGCAGAGTTGAACTTTAATGGACGCGGATGTGTATTATGCGGGAGCTGCCGTGCGATTTTCAAACATTCAGACACGTGTTTATCCCGGCGGTTGCCCCGCGCCCGGTGAGAGATCACGTTTGACGGTGGCGTAACGAGGTCGATAATGGACAATAATTATGTCGGGCCGGAATATTAATAGGATAATTTCAGAAGTTGGTAAGCGCGGTAAAACGACGTGATTAAAGTTGCGCATGAGAACGATAATAGCCTCGGTGGCAACCTGGCGAACCGCGTGAAATATAAGCGAGGCCGCGAAAAGTTTCATGCAATTCCCCCCGTTCATTCAAGGAATTCCCTCTTCTTCTACCGTATGGGATTCGGCTTATTGATCATTTTTATTTAATATCGGATCATCGCAGTCCACCTCCATTCCTTGAAACTTTTCTTATTCGATTCTCTGGATAATGTGAATCCCGGTAACTTTCTTCCGTAAACTTTCGCAGATACTTCCGATAAATGCGACTATTGTCTTATTGTTAAGAAACGCGGAGTTCGCAAGGCGCCGGGACTGAGGAGAGAGCCGATACAGAAACGCAAACTTTCAAGAGATACAAATAACGGGTCTTTCGCTACAACTCCTCGCAATTAGAAAGTAACGATTGAATTAATCAGATCTCGGGTTATAAGCTATCTATCGCATCCAATTAGCTCGGTCTAAATCGACGATCCGATCTCGTCACTCTTAGAATCACTATTTGCAGAGAAACCGCTTTCAATACTCTTTTGATAGAACTAGGAATGATAAATAACTAAATTATAAATTAATTCAAGCGTTTCCAGAATAAACATCTCATCTCGTAACTCCGAGTAAAACTATTACGGAATAACATCAGAAATTATATTAAATGCTTTTTAAAATAACATCTGTACATTCTCGCGGAGAGATACTCCGCGCTTGATAATCTACAACTTGCGGCGTTAATGATAATCTACAGTTTACCGCGATGAAAATTAATATTCCGAGTTTCGATCATTAACTACCGACTTCAAACCGCACTTGTCGCGATGTCGAATTAATGGCAAAAGCGCGCCGCGAAAATGAAAATTGATATCCCGAGTTGCGATCGGAGTTAACCGCCGACTTTCAATGTAAATCAGCAGAACGCGATCATTAAGCGTCATCAATCACCCGGGCGCGAGAATTGACGATTGGATTTAGCCTTCTCGCACTCACCGTTCAGACTCATCGAGTCGTACTGCTCGGTCTGCAGCGGCTCCCTATAGATTATCGGGTCCATGCCCGCGAAATCGGCGACCGTGCCGGTGTAGAGTTCACCATCCACGTAGACGAAGGTGCTGTTGTGCTGCGGGTCGTACGGGCACCTAGCCTGGCCGCCCTTCTCCTTCACGATCGTATAGTTGCCCGCGTGCACCGTATAATCACGGCACATAGGCTTGAAGGCGTTGGTGGCGCACACGAAGAGGTTATTCGACCCGGTCTTCACGAGGATGCGAATGTAGTTCTGGCAGTTCTCCTCGGGCGTGCCCTTGACGACGCACATCTTCACGTCGTTCTCCGTCGAGTACCAGGTCAGCCTCTGCTGCTCCGTCAGGTCGGTCAGACTGAGATTATGCACGAGATTTCTGAAACGAGATTATACGGTTCTCCGGTTAAAAATGAAGATTCCGCGGTATGTAGGATAGTAAAACTGTTACAGCTGACCGGGAGTGCAATCGAATTTCTAGGACGAGAATGTAACGCAATCTCTACTGAACAAACTCCTGCAAAAAGAAATTCTCTCTCTTTCTAAAGAAACAAAAAAAAATCTTTAAACTCTAAACTGACATGGTCACTGTTACTGGTATCTTTCGCATTGTTACAACAAGCTGGGAGTAAAAGGACTCTAATGTACGTTGGATGGAGGAAAGAGTTTCCCAAGTTGCAAAGTTAGATGCCTAAAGTAGACATCAACGGAGCGGAGCAAGGCTGTCTGGTTAGCACGGGTTTAGCTCGAGAAAGCGGCGCGTTTGTAAAGTTTCGGCAGTCGATCGTTAACTCTTCTTCATTAAGCACTCCGCCGTATGCTTAGAAGCACTTTAAAGGGGAAGAATCTCTTCGCGCTCGCAGCGCTTACTCCACGTCGCGATCGCGGATTTTGCCGACCGCGGAATAATCCGCGAGGCACACTCTCGTATTATAAGCCTGACGTAACGAGCAAGAAACAAATTTCCGTATCCGACGGAATGTGCACGCGGCGGTGATGATAACGGCGACCGACGGCGGCAGCGGCGCTCGGCAAATCGGCCGAGCAATTAGTGTAATCCGATCAATAACGAACGAGCCTGGATATATATCAGAGTTCATTCACGCACAATGCGTTTAATCCGTGTACGACCTGATTATCGCCGCTTCTGCCGACTGATTTCAGCGTTGAAAACGGCGCGCATTCAGCGTACACGAAACGTGAATAGATTTATCTGCGTGCACGCTCGAGAATCCGAGAGGGGGAGGGAGGAAAAAAGGAAGAACGCGCGCTAATCGATCGAGCGGGAGGGGGAGGGGAGGGTAGCGAGAGAGGCACAATCAAATCGTTTGAATACGTCCCCTAATGACGAATCCAAAGCCCGCATTTATATAGACATATACAATTTATATATTGCGACTTGCAGCTGCAATTATTTTACATTGTATTTGCCAGATCTTAATAATACGACATTGTTAATGTTTATCCCCTTAGTGTACTTGTAGAAAATTTTATAATAAAGATTAATATTTGGAAACAGTATTACGAAATATATTGATAGTATTATATGATATTGATAGTATTACGGACGATAAAGATTCGGATTCAATTCATACATGGTTCGTCGATAATCGATTGAATATGCTCCAACAGTCGCGATAATGTGACATCTATTGTTGTGTTTGACATGATTAATTATCTCATCACGGAATATAATGCTCTATAATAATTTTTGTTTATATAAATTGAACAAAACTGATTGTTTACTAGCTTTTAATGAACAGAACGTATAATTTGCAACGCGTTATATTATATATTAAAGATATTTTTCGAGACCCGCGTATTTGTTTGGAGCGACAATGTCTGTTCCGATACTTCCCTACAATGAATATTACAGGCTGAAATTATGATACAACTTGGAGTAGTGTACAAATGCCGATTAATAATGCATTTTGAAGGTTGTGTACGGTTGTGATACGATTAGCAGTATCATTGTCAAACAGGAAAATCATAATTATTTAACGATGTTCCAACGAGTCCATGGCGATGCACACATAATTAATTTCTACGATTAAAATAATCATTATCTCCGTGACCAAATAACCATACATTCCGGAATAACGTACTTCACGATCGATCCATAATTTAATGATCAAAATTAAAAATTTGCACCCTTGGGCAAGCGGAGATTTCGCGAATGTTTTCGCAATGTCGCCGCGCAACGTGCGCCCCGACTGAATTCCAGATCGACTTCGATCGGGAAGAGAAGTCGCCCGGGCCGGGGATTAAAAAATACTCTGCTTGGACGAGCATTCAATTTACGCGATAAAACGAGTTTGCACATAATATATAGAAGGAATTACACGATTTTCGATCTACCTCGTGATCACACCGTCGATCTCCGGGCGCTCGTGCAGACAGCGGCGCAATGATACGTCGGAAGATGGATAGGCGGGAGGGGGCCTTGGAGGAGACTTGGGGAACGAGCGGGGAGAGATGCGGAAGAGGAAGAGGAATAAGAAGAAGTGGAAGAAGAAGAAGAAGCGGCCCTTTAATTAAAGCACTAGCTCCAAATGAATCCTCTATTTACCTTCCGCCGACCAGAAGATAGTTCCCGTCCCTGAGCACCAGCCGAAAGTAGTCTGTGTGCGTCTCGTTTCCCGTAAACCTGAACACATCCTCCGCACCTGGAAAAGAAAAGCAGAGGAAGGGTTTCGGATTAGTTTTTGTTCTATCGCTTGAAAAGTGGAATTACCTTATTCTATCTAATTAGCCGTCGACGGCCATCGACATTGCTCTTTTGTGACAGTCGACGACGGCTCGTCTTTTCCATCCCCCCCCCCCAGCCCTTCCCCTTTCTCTCTCTCTGCCGCCGCGAAAGACCGGAAGCCGGCTTTAATAAGCGTAATAAGCTTCCTTTTGATCGCGGACCCGATGAACAATGCTGATCGATTATTAACGAACCAACTGTGAGCAGTCTTTCTTAACTTTAGCAGATGGCTGAAAAAAAAGGAGACGTCTCCATTACCCATTAATTATCCATTGACTATAATTCGCGGCAGAAGCAGCTGTTTTGCGGGCTTTCCGAGTGTATTAAAAATCGACTGCCGAATTCGTGCGTAACATGATAACAGTGATTGCAGGATTTGCGCAATGACACATGCATCTACCGCATCGTCGTATTTCACGTTCGAATATCCTGAATTTCCTACATCGTACTTCTGTCCGCACAAAACGTTCTTTCGGACAATGAAATAATCATGTTCAACATCTGCGAAGCGAAACGTTAATGAACGCCTCACTGGGTCCCCGGGTGTAATAAGCAGAAATTTTCGGGGCAATCAATGCCGATCGCAGCAATCTCGGATCCGGTGCATGCAATTCGGGACATATGCATAAATTGCATTGCCACACTGACGTCGCGCGGCGTATGCAGCATGCGAGGTTGCAATATGAGCTTATTAAATATTAGTGCGTCACATGTGACACATGAAAAGAAATATGTTTCTCAATAACGATATTTTGCGATAATAATAAATGGGTCATAATAACGACAGAATAATCGTTTAACATGCTTCTTAATATATTGAACATGCTTTTCTCTCAATTTCATAAAAAATATACTCTCTAATCTGAATCAGTGCACAGTCACTGATTATCAATGATTATTCATTAAATCATCAGTACCAAGTATGTAATCAGTGAAATTTAACTTTATTGACTCTCAAAAATTACGAATAAATAAGTGAATAATCGCTATAATCATTGACAAATTAGTGGACTTCGCTGTTCTTGCTAATTACACAGTGGATTCGGCTCTGTTTCACTTATTTATTAGCAATGCAAGGCATTAAATTAGATTATAACTACTGACTCAATCAGTGACTTTACAGAGATTTTTCACTAATTCAGATTCAGAGAGTAGTCAAAGTGGCCAAAGTAGTGCAAAATTTTTTATATCCATTCTAAGTTTTTAAATTTATTATTTGATTATCGACGGCAGCAGAGTTATCTATCTGGGATGCTCCTGTTTGCACACAAATATAGATAGATAACACTCATTTATTCAACAAATATCAATTGAATGTTCTTTTCGGCTGATTCCAGTGTAATCGATCGATCGATGCAGATCGGGAGCAGACGGTATAATTAAAAGAGTAATTATCAGACGATCCCATATCCTGATGTCACTCAATGCAGATGATCGGACTTGTGCATCCGGCGTCTGTGATTCAGGCCAGAGATAGGGATGCACTTAGTGCATTCAATCGCAACAGCAACAAGAAATGAGGACAACGATTTAACGGTCCATGCAGAACTGGCTATTCACTCTTTGGGAATGGAAATATTTCTATTTACATGCTATCAATTATTACGAAGCGAGTCACTCATAAGTTTTCATCGCGGAAAGTGATAAAAAAATTCAGCTTTATCATTGCGCATATTTATTTAAAATCGTTTGTCAGCCAACCGGGACAGAACTTCGATTACACTATAATTTGAAAAGCGCTGCAACACAAACGCAAATGGCTATATATATAATCTAGCTAATTGCACCATATTTAAATGTAATTAAACGTCCGCATTTGAACCTCACTTATTGGAATGCGTATGATAATTATTCCGGGCTTTGCACATTCAACTGCCACTCAATGTCAACCACTGAACCACCCTCTACCTGATTTATGTAATTCCAGTCATGGATATATATATGTACGTTGCAAGTAACTCATCTACTGACCATATATCGCAAATGTTTGTTAAATAATATTCAGAGTGAGCCAATCGACCATTCTGAATGTTATTTTACAAACATTTGTAGTTGACATTTTTAATAGTTATCTACTACATGTTACACGCGTGCAAGCTCGTATTTATATGTCCTATGAAAATATTTACATGTAAATATATATATATATATATATATATATATGTATGTATATATATATATACATATACATATACATATTTACATGTAAATATTTTCATAGGACATATAAATACGAGCATGTATATATATATATATATTTTCTGCGTACATATTTTCTGAATGGGTATACATTAAAATCTTTCAAACTCGACGATCGGACACATCGATGCCAATCGATTTCAATGACCGGAGAGAGGCGCACCCTCGCATCCAGTGCATGCAATTTGGGTCAGATATAGACAAGCAGCAGTGGTAACAGAAACTCTGCCAATGAACGGATGCAATGCTGAAGCAGGCTATTATCGAAAGCATCATACGTCTTGCCGTAGAAACGAATTAACGTCACGCTGTCGGGCGTTACATTCGTGCCGCCGCTTGACCGTGGCAAGGTTCGAGAGAGAGAGAGAAAAGAAGTCAGATGGATGAACATCTAACTGATATGGCGAGACCGAGGTGAGGGTGACGTGTACGGAGGAAGAGAGCGAGAGGAGGACTGGACGCGCGATGGATCGACGGATAGCCAGATAGAGGCGTCCACCGCCTATCCTCTTTCTCTGATTGCCTTCGAAATTAAACGGACCGGGTGTGTGTCCCGTAACTCCCATCAACTCTGGGGCTCACTCGGTTATCGCTTTCCAAAATTAGCCGTTCGATTTCAGTCGCGTGTCGCGCAAGGTTGTAGCCGAAGAAGGGCGATTCGGAGGCGGAGTTTATTTCGATAATCTTGGCTTGCTACATATCCGTTCGTGAAAAATGCATTAACGAATAAATAATTAACCACAACAAAAACAAATCTGCAAGACAGCCTGACGAGATATTATTAAACGTCAGCGATTGAACGTGATTTTATGATTATACAGATAATCGATTTATATCACAGCCCGATTACTTTCCATTCCAATCTTTGATTTATCAATTTATATTAATACTTTCGCATATTTTTGATATATTAACTAAGACGCTTAAAATATATTAATGCATAAATAATATACGTAATAATAATAAATTTTACTCGAGATACTTTTGTGTAAAAGAATTGTAAAAATGCTAAACATTTTTCTCAATACATTTTCAGAGATCGCAGTATCTATAGAAGCTAGCTCTTTAGAAACGTCGTTCTTCGATACGATCAGTGAAAACCTTCGATTGAAAGGACACGCAATACGAGCCCCATTACCGTAGGAAATTCGTCCCCGTTCCTCGCCCTTTTCTGCGTCGTACCTTTTGTTCCGCCGTCCCGTCGACGAATGGTGGAACTTCGCATCTGCCAGCCATTTGCGGTTAACGTCAAGTTTCGAGCAACGAGAGAGGCGCTCTGATATTCGTGAAAGCCGATACAAAATACAAGCCGCGGACATGTATCGGCTTTCACGCTGCTGCCAGCGGAGCACAAAAACTTGTACCATACGGGATATGTACACTGACGGGAGAATTCATCGTTTTGAGATGATGATACTTCGCCTTACAAATATTTAATTATTTTTGTTTACCGGATATTAATATTATTTCTATACTTATAAGCATACATATCAAGAATTTCCCAACACCGGGTTGCATTTTTCGTAAATATACACAGCGACGATACCATCTCATGAATTTAATAACAATCCTCAAATGGAACCGATAACGGAGAGTCAATATTTCAGCAAGGAATTGAGCTGAGAGATACAATCGAAACCGCTCCCCAGAGCTGCGATTGTTCCTGGAAGAATGCTAAAAAATTGACCAAAGTCGATCCGGTCTATATCGTCCGACCTCTTCCCCTCCCCCTCCCCCCGGAACCACCTCTACAAATCACATATATAAGTTCCTCGGAGCCGCCCGGCAAGTGCCGCGATTCGGAAATATTGAACGTGTCCAAAGTTACGACTCGCCCGTCAAACTTCGCAGATCGAACTTCTCTGGAAAGCGCTTTCGCCGTGCGAGAGACGTTAGGAGGTAGGAGGCAAGAACAACGGCGGACTGAGAGAGAGGAAGAAAGAAAGAGAGGCATATTTATCACATTTTCTGAAAGAGAAGGGAGAGAGAGGTACCGGCTGTTTCACGGGGGTAAACGATGGCGTGCGAATGTCCGTGACTGGTGGGCGGATTGCTTATCAAGAAAGACGGAACGGCTCGTGAAATGGCAATTAAACGCACGATCATCCCTGCGTTAAGACCACTCCTGCGTGTCGACGTCGATCACAGTGGACGCCCGCGCATCTTCCGTCAGTTAATCCGACTGACGCGAAACGGTGCACGCGCCGCGGTTAAATGATATGGGTGACGGCCAAGGCAATTTGATGTACTCAAGATTGGCGGTTGCATTCGGATCGACGCGACGTAGCCATTAATGATGGAAAAGTCGTGGGATTATCGATACACAACGACGATTACAAGCCGTCACAAACGTAAGGAAGATATATGCGGATGTTATAATCATATCTCATTGGAAAAGATTCGTAGATAAAATTACAAAGCGATAAAATTACAAATGATCTTCATAAAATTACAATTTATTTTGTAATCGTGGAATTGAATTTAAGTATGCAAGATTGAAACTAAATAAAAATTTAGCAAAATATTCATAAAATGAAAATTCGGTTTCTTTATTTTGTGTGTCAATCTTGATTATTATTCTAATCTTGAAATTGTAAGATTCGCGAAAGTCGTTATCGTTGTTTTTTTTTTAAAGGACTCTATTTGTTCATACAATATTCCAATATTTATACAATAATTCTTTATCAAGTTTTTCAAATTTTTTTTCACCAAATTAAA